AATCTGTATGTTGTATGTAACAGGTCCCTCTTGTAAATGAGTCATCGAGACTCAATGGGCAATAACCTGTACAAATAAAAGTCTAATAATAATAATATACATTTATTTATTTATTATTATTATTATTGTTGTTGTTGTACCAGGAGAGTAAAAAGCAGAAAAGAGAGACAGATGAACAGTCAGGGGAGGGGAAAAAAGCCCATTTCGAGCAGTAAATTTTATTATGGGATAACAGCACATAAAGCACATCTAAAATCGATGTGTCCAATGCACTTTTAATAAAGGTAATATTAAAGGTACAGTTTCTAAGTACAATATAACAACATTCATATTAGAATGAAAAGTATTTAAAAGACAACATTAAATTTCTTATTTTTCTTTACAGCTCTATTTACAAAATGAATCAAAATACTTATTTTCATATTTAAGAATGGGACAAGAAGGAGCAAAACTACATTTGTGAATAGACTACCTGCTAAAGAGAGTTCAAAAGAGCTGGATAAAAAGGTACATGATCAACTGTCCCCAGTTAACAACAGTAGCAAACGTGTGACTTAGAAACTTGTGCCAACCACACACTAAGTTTGGGCATTTCCATGTTTTTTTTTAATTTTTTTTAATTGATTTGCATCCCTACTCCACTCACTCTTCACGTGGAGTTCTCCCCAACAGACTCAGGGCACAATGAACACAAAAACATTAAAGAAATCCAGATGCATTGTATTGGCTTGGTTTTACAAACACGTACAAATATACAACTCAGTATCAAATCTTCTGTTTGCACTCAGCAGATGTACCACATACGAAAAAAAACAAACAAAAAAAACATACAGAACCGTGAGTTTGCTGCTCGTTTTTTGCTCAACAAGAAGAAAATGTGCAAGTGAATGTTCAGTAATATTTAACCGCAGGCATTTATTGACAATTTGAGATCAACAGGAAACAAACAAAAAAAAAGCTTCCCAGTTTCTGAAACAAGGTCGAGAGGGGGATGACGGTGACATTCTAAACAGACCGTCTATACATTAAAACTCTCCAACATAAAGTGAAAACAACAGATGAAGAAGAAATCATTTTAGCATGTGAAAAGTCATCCTCTTGTACAAAATACATTGCCACTTCAGTACACATCTGGAGAAAACAAAAACACAATCGCACACATGTATGCAGTTTGTTACACCGAGAGGCACTCAGTGTGATAACGTTGCCTATTATTGCAAACATATCCTTACTGATATTTGCTACAGAGTAGAAGGGAAAAAAAGTCAACTATTTGTTGAAATGGCAATCTTTTATGCACATGTTGAACATTTCATGTGGGGCAAAAAGCTTTATGCCACTGGTCTGAGGAAACAAATATTTCAGGGATGGGGAATACCACAAGATGAAATCCAACCATCCCCTCTCTGCATCGAGTGAAGACACAGGAGGAAACAGATAATTGTTCAGATTGTAGACAGCGTGGTTCAGTGGAAATATTATGAGCATCAATATCTTACCTGTTGTAGATGGCTTCTTAAACCAGTGGTTCCCAACCCTAGTCCTTGAGGAACACCATCCTGCATGTTTTAGTTGTTTCCTGATTCAGTGGTTTAATTACTTCCTTAAGTTTGGCAGAAACCCATTAATCACCCTTTCATGCAAATCAGGTGTGTTGGAGCTGAGGATGGTGTTCCTCAGGGACCAGGGTTGGGAACCACTGCCTTAAACAACCTGTTTAGAGAAATAAAGTTTAATTCTGAGCAGGCTGACTAGTCCAAATGAGGCCAAGACCAAAGTGGATGGCTATCATTATTAAACTAAAACCTAATTAAAAAAAAGCAAAACAAACAAACAAAAATAAAATAAAAACAAAATAAAACCACAACAGTTCACATGAACACCATTTTAAAGCAACAATCCACTTTAGCCTTAGACTGGCCTACAACTTGTCAATATCAGAATTCAGTTTGTTTTTCCAAACTGACGTTGTTTAAAGGGCCATCTACAACAGGTAAGATAATAACTCTTCATATTATTTCCTATAAAGAAATATAGAACTATGTCTTTAGAATCTGACAGAGTCTCAGTGAGTGGTTTATTATTATTGTTATTATTATTATTATTACAATCAGACAAAGAAAACCCCCACAACACTGCTGTTTCAGTTTGGATACTTTCTCCCAAACCAGAAAACAACCTTAAATAGTTTATTTAGCAGATTCTAGTTTTGCTATAGGAAATAAGTGCCTTATCCCAGAGCTAGCACACTGATACAGGTACTGGCTGGGTAAACTGTTAACCACTATCATTGTTTATTATCATTATTTGTTGAGTCCTAATATCAATAATACATTAATAAGCAGTGAAATTATTGAACTAATCGGGCGGCCAGGCTTAGGAATCAATACTTGGTTCACAAAATTAACTTACCTAGCACCACACTTTAGGGCAAACACAAAATTAAATGTCAGCACACCCTTTTTTCTATCCAACTAATCCTAAAGGAGGGAAGCAAATAGAAACAGTTTTATCGTACAATACGATGTAATCGATAAACAAGATAAATATCTTCATCGGGTAGGCCTTAAGTTGCAGTATTTTCCTCTTACCTATACAGACAGAAGTTACAAAGCTACCTTTATACACATGATCAATAATATTATTAAATATGGTGAACAGACAGCCGAGAACGAGGGAGAGCGTGAGAAAATAACAGATACAGTACACAGGCCGTGCCAAGTTCTCCACCTGGGAACAGAACTGGTCAAATACACAAATGAAATATATATATAAAAAAAAACTATTAAATCAACACAAATAAACCAAACCGCGATAAATAAGAGGTGTATTTACATGCAGATGCACAAAAGAATGAAAAATATACTGACATATATTATTGCTTGACATTCAATTATGGCTAAAAAGTTGCTTGCTCGTTATTTTTATGTTTTTAACTATATTCTTAATTTTACTTAATCATAAATCCTTATCAGCTGTGCTTTTATTTTGGGGAAAAAAAAAAAAGAGTTTCAATAAAACACAATGATGGATTTTGTAATTCTGGGGCAACACACTGGACAGTTTAAGCGTGACATAACACCCGTCTGCACAATTTACGGTCAAGAGGGGCTCAAGTTTGCTTTTATTTACTTTATTTATTTTATTTTATTAAAGGAAATGATTTATTTCAGTTCAGGCTTCTGGGCCGCCTGATAACAAAAGCCTGTTTAGGCTGTGAACGGTCGCCGCACAGAGTTTTACAGACCGCTGAATAGCTGAAGGCGTTATGTTACACTTAAAAAATAAAATAAATCAAATCCTACACTTATTATGGGATGGAGCAAGCTCAGCATTATTAAAACTTGATATATTTTTTGCGGTTTTTAATTCTTTTAAAACGTTGATCATTAAAATCAGAACCTGCTCGTTCACATGACCCTGTTCCTCTGTAATTATTAAAGCCTTGTCTGGGGGGGGGGGGGTTATTTTATCACACACGGTGAGAACAAACACACACACACATACACACACTATTGCTTTTTTATATACAAAAGGACACGATAGCAGAGACAGAATGAACAGCACATTTTACTGTTTACTAAACACTGATTGAATAGCACATTTAGCATCAATTGCTTACTTAAACTGGGCAATTCTCAAACGAGAGTATTAAAAAATAACGGAAACCTTTCAGTTTATAATTAGACACAAGTACTCGTGTGTTTGATGGTTTTCTGTCCTCCCGTCTCTATCGCAACCACGAGAAAGAGGAACAACCGACTGAACGGGGCTTTTATTTTCTTATAAACACACTGGATGAGAAAAGTGGATTCAAAAGATAACTGCGATGTAAAGACCCGTAATTGTAACGCAAGGCATATTGCTCGTTATATTTTGCAGAACGCACGACGAGCCGCTCATCCAAGTCAGAGGCCTGACTTTTTGACCTTTCGGCGGCAGACTTTAGCTGATCGCATTTTGACAAAACACTCGATTGCTTCAAAGTGGCGTCGCACAACAGGCTGAGAGCACAACACTTCTGTAAACCGTTTAAAGGCAGTCGGCCAAATCTGAAGTTTCAGTTTCATGTCCAGAGGGAGCTAATCGAAAGCTTGGAGCTGCCTCTTCGTCTCGCCCGTTTCCTCCCTGAGCGTTCGCCTCAACTTTTCTGCTTGCTCTTAAACCTGGATTGTCTTGCAGTGTTTCCAGACTGGGTTTGTTTGCTCTGAGACTGAGGTTAACTAGTCATAGAGGGCTTGTGCATATCCAAAAAGAAGATAAAAATAGCATCGGATCATACAGCAGATCTACAATAACACAACAGATTCAGTATTGCATAAGAATATTTGGTTTTCTAAGAAAGAGGGTAATTATTAGTAAAAACAACCCTGATGACACCATTTGATTATTATTTTTTTTTTTTAAATCGGACTGAAAATGTTTTGTAGTGGAAAAACTGCAGATTGTAAAAGTAATGGGGTTTGTTTTCTTTAACTTGGGTGGAGGAAATGCAACATCCTGGAACAAATCAGTGTCGACCATTGAAATCTTAGTAACCTTCTTCCCAAGGAACATCCCTGAAACAAATATGAAAAAATAAAAGAAAATCTACTAAACACAATGAATACAAATGTCTTCTCATACAACAAAAAGAAATAAAATAAAACTCTTCCCTGAGGGGTGACAGCACAAGGCATTAACGTCTTGTGCAAATTGCACGGCGGAGGAATGATAGTGTGCAAACAGAAGGAAGAAAGAAAAAGTGGATTTGACGTTACAGCTCGTGACGCGATGAATCAACATGCTTTGCTGGGTTTCTAAAGGGTTATCACTTTTTTCTTTTCTTCTTTTATTATTAGTATTTTTTCCGATTTTCTAGAAGCCGCTACTCAGATCGCTGGAATGTCTTCGGATTTCATCCTACATTAAAAACGAGTAGACTGGAAAGCGGAAGCAACGACAACTGTTTGGCACATCCAGGGTCTTTTTTTTTCTTTTCTTTTTCGTCTTCTTAAAAAAAAAAAAAAAAAAAACACTTTACTACCACACTGACAAGAAAAGACACTCAACAAAACCGAAGCACAACAACAAAGCGTTCTGAAAATAGCACTTGTCCTACCGTTTTTCTGCTTCTCCCCCTAATCACACAAACAACAGCTAGTCTAATTATTGCAGGGATACAGTTAAGTGCTACCTGACATCTTTTTTTCCTCCTCCCCTCCCTCCGTCTCTTCCGTGAGTTTATTAACCGAAAACAAGTTACAAAAATAGAAGCTTTACAACCAGACAAGGCTTTGAATATTCACGTTCCCTTTGCGTTTTTCTTCTGTTCGGGCGTTGCTGGACTCAGGTTTAGGTGAGAAGGCTGAAAAATACTAATCTTAAAAAAAACAACAACAACAAGGTAACACTTTAGAATAAGGATCCCCTTATATATGGTTAATAAATAGATTATAGATACGTTATTAATGCCTCTATAAACACTTTAGAAATCATTAACAACTGCTTATTATGCATTAATTAAGGGTGACAGAAAGACCAAACTGACCGGTTTGTTGCCAAATAGTGAGCCAAATCTGTTCACCTATATATATTTCATCTAGAGTTGTTATATTAAACATTTCAGACTAAGTTACTACCTTGTAAGCACAATAAGCATTTGTAAACCTAATTATTTTAGGATATAATATTAGTTGTAGATATAATGCAATGATAAAATACAATATTATATGCTAAGAAATAGGTTTACAAATGCTTATTGTGCTTACAAGGTAGTAACTTAGTCTGAAATGTTTAATATAATAACTTTAGATGAAATATATAGGTGAACAGATTTGGCTCACTATTTGGCAAGAAAATGGTCAGTTTTGTCTTTGTCATCCTTAAACAATGCATAAGCAGTTATTAATGATTTATAAAATGTTTATAGAGGAATTAATAATGTATCTTTAAACTATTTATTAGCCATCTATAAGGGGAGCCTTAGTGTAAAGTGGTATAAAAAAAAACAACCACTAAAGGCCTACAAAGGGTCTATACATACATGTCCATTCAGAGCAGACTGCTCCTGTTTGCTTGTTGTATCTTTAACTTCCACTAGGTGGAACAATTGGATTACAATTTTCTTGAACGCATGGCGATTTAGGGTCAAGTCATCAGAAAATAAAAGTTTTTAGTTCCTTTTTTTGAACCTTCTTCACATAATGTGCGAGGTTTTACAAAATACAATGGAAGCAAACATGTAAAACGTATTATAACAAGATAAAACCCAACTGTAATTCTCTTATTTAGTAAAAGCGATCCATAGCTCCAATTTGTGTGCGCTCGCTGTGTAAAAGTTGCATTAAATGTTCTACTTTTACAAAGCAGCACACGGGGAGTTCTCCTAGGAAAAACTTGGGAGTGCTTCTATCTCATCTTCTCATCTATGCCTTTAAAAAGCAAAACTCAAAGTCCAGCAGCCGCACCAGCCCTCCTAACAACCGTCCCGAACACTTCCAGACAAATATCATCTGCAGCTCTCCAGACTGTGACCAGGATTCAGCTCGCAATTCTTGTGCACATGCAACACATCACTAGGTAAATATACAAGTCTTAAATTAAAGAAAGGTGTAAATAAAAGTGCCTTATCAAGTCAACAATTAAGAATGGTCTAACTACTAATATCATACATGTTATTTAAAATAGATTCTATAAACATTACTTTTTTTCTGTATAGTAAGTGCTTATGACCATTTACCCTGTAGTACATTATTATAAAACAGGTGGAATGGACCCTTTTCGCTGCGTCGGTGTGCTGTGCTTCTTCAGGGCACCTGTCCGGAGAAGGATTAATAGCAGATGGCCTTACATGATTTTCACTATGCAACATGGATGCCGGAGGATGGAGTCTTTGACAACTAAAATCATTGCGTTTTTATTAGAATTACCAGAATTCTAGGCTTCTTCTTCTTCGTCTTCTTTTTTTTTTTTTCCTTTTTCTTTTTTTAAGCGATTGTCCTTAGAGAGGTGCCGATTGCATCACCATGCCGGTGGAACCTCCCCCAAAAAGTTGCTGTGAGTTTTCGTTCCGAGCACTGCGTCCCAAAAAACAAAGAGAGAGAGAGAGAGAGAGAAAGGAAAATGGCTGAACTTGACCAAAATGTGCACGTTGATCCGGTTATTTTATTCCGGTTTAATGTAAAGATGACGGGTTTGATCGCTAAATTACTAGAATTGTTAAAGGAGTGCAAACTGGTAAATAATACTGATGTGGCCGTCTTCTAATAATAATGGATAATGGTGTCTATCCCACTGATGGGACTGAATGGTGAAAATACAGTGCACGAATGAACAAAACGGTGCGTTCTGTTTTAGGAAAGCGCACAAGAGAGCCAAGTTCAGCCAAACCCAAGTTATTCGTTCCTGTCTCCTCTTCATGTCCCCGTCGGGTGTTGGGTCCCACGTGTCAAAGAGAACTAAACTGAACAAAGTAAACTTTCGCGATCAACTCCCCAGAGCCCTCCCCCTCGCATGTAAAAGAAAAAGTTGATCAGCGTGCCATCTGTCCGCTCCGGATTGTGCAGGGCACCAGTAAAGTGTCTCAGATTCCTCCTTCACATCCCTCCCCGCTCCCCCATTACGATGGGCACACTGGCACCTGGGGAGGAGGAGGCTACCCATCGACGGGCATGGACTGCTCAAAGTCTGATCCGAACAGCTCCTTATATAAGGGGGGGAAGTGGGCACGCACAATGTCTGGGTATATTGCTTTGAAAGCCGTGAGCTTCTCTGTATGCCTGCTGCACAGCGCTCGCAGTGTCGACACTTTGCATATCAACTGTGGAGAGAGAGAGAGGAGACAGGCTGTTTAGATTCACAACGAGGCAAGGACATGGAGCAATTGTAGTGAACAAAAAAAAAAAAAAAAAAAACATTCCTCCCTACAGTGTTTTCTGTCCCACACAGGGGGCAAACAGGCTTGCAAATATTGAGACAAGCACTCAGGCGCAAAAAGAAACCCCTGACGCTTTACATTAAACAGCTGATACGATTGATAAATAGCCACTTCGCTGCTGATGAAAAGGAATTTCCTGGTGCTTTATGTATGCTCCCCTTGAAATCTGTGTTCACACTAATTTAATATTGTAAAGTGGTTCAAGGCCTGTGGATAAGGATCCTAAACAGTGCAGTATTATGCCGCTACAAGCTTAGCAGACAGCCACGTTCAGGGATAATGGATGTGCTGCTTTGTACCTTTGTAAGTACACCATCCTCTCTGTGGTTCTTTTGCAAAACGTGCTGAAGAGCCAGCTGGATCTTCTGCTGGAGTTTCTCTACTTTCACTTTCTCCTGGAGCCAGGATCGGTCTAAAAGAGCAAATATTCACAGATTTATTTACAGTAAAACGGAAGTACACCTTTTTACTATAGAGAAATTGCATTTCCTGCAAAAATGCAGTGTGAATGCTTATTGCTGAAGAACTTGCTGAAAAACAGCTGAAATTAGCTAAAAAAAAAAAAACACGTTGAAATGTAGCTGAAATGGAAGAAAAAGCCTAAGTTAGCAGCAGAAAGCAGAAAAAATACATATTTGCTTAATTGGGTTTAAATACGCAGAAATTAGAACAGAAATTAGGAAAATAGCTAAAAAAGCTCAAATTACAACAAAACAAAAAACACCCCTGAAAAGTAGCTGAAAAGGCAGAAAGAAGCCTAAACTATCAGAAGGTAATGAAAAAAGCTGAACTGAGCCAAAAAATGTGAAATCAGCTGAAAAAGCTACATTTAGCACAAAAACAGCTAAAGTTGCTGAAATAGCAGAACATGCTGAATTTAACTAAAAAAAGGCTGAAAGGAGCATAATAAGCTGAAATTAGCAGAAAGAAGTTAGAAAAAACAAAAATGTTGTAGTAGGCAGAAAGAATCTGAAAGGAGCACAAAACAGCTGAAAAATCAGCTGAAAGTAGCTGAAAAATGTTTTAATTTGCACAAAAAAGCTGAAAGAAGCTGAACCAGAGCAAAATGTGAAAGGAGCAGTAAAAGGTTGTAAACAGATCTAAAGATTTGAAGGATGTAAAATGCGCTCAATTCATTTTCTATGAGGAAAAAAGGTGTCAGAAAAGGCTAAATATTTCAAAAAGCTAAAGTTGCACCAATACCAAAAGTCATAACCCACATCTCATGAAAAAGCTGCATGTTTTGATATATGATTTGTTGAAATAGCACAAAAATTGTAAAAAGAGAAAGATGCTGGAAAACGTTCAGAAGAAAAATGGACGACAATAGTGTGAATGCTTCATGAACATTCACACTATTATGGCCATGAGAGGGTTAAACAGAACCAGGAGGACAGCCGTCGTGTTCGTTGTTGTGGTGAGCGACTGTGTTTTTTTAACGTTTTCATTTTTATTTTTTATTGGCGCTGCGACTGACACCTACCAGCAGACATCAACACAAAGGCAGAGAACAGGGCGATCTCATCCTCAGACAGGTGCATAGAACACAAGTTTTTCCCAAACTCGAAGACGGAGCTGATCAAGTCGTCACAGCCTGCCACAGCAAAGGACAGAGAGAAGGGGGCTCAGGATGAGGAAGACCAAAGAACAACACTCACTCTTGATCTTTATTGGGAGAAAGGCACACGGGGAGGAAAGGGGAGAGAGGGAGGGGATGAAAACAACAAGCAGCACGCTGACAGCACATGGGAGCATCTTAAGCCGAACAGGCGATGCTTTTACTGAGTTTTGCCTCCCAGACGAGTCACTTTTGGCAGTTGGGTGGCGTTATGCAAGCTAAAATGAGGTCACTATTGAGGCTTTTAGTTAAATCAATTATTGGGGACAGAGGGAGACAGGCAGATGCCACTGCAGCTCAGGGGGCCCATCACTCGCCCTCCTCCCCCATGCCCACTGAAGTAGTCCCCTGTCGGTTAAAGGGAGACTGGGACAGAAACTAATATTCAAACAGAGTTATGGAGAACAACAGACTCACTAAAAAACAGAAATGCACGTTCACAGCCACTGTGGGACATATTTACAAAATTTCCGTCAAATGGTTGAAAACTCGTGAAAATCCACCGTGGAAGATCGCGGTAAAATATAATGACGGTCAAACATGACGGCTATTTGCTTTCGCCTGAGATGTTTTATGTCAGACTATCAGTGATGGTTTTGATGGCACTCTCCCCAAAGACGCTCCGTCTGGATTTATTTATTCCGCAGTTACATGAGCCATATGCAGCAGAGCCTCACTAACGTCTCTGTTCTACCATAAATAACCGCTGAAGAGACAGAAATGCCAGGTGAGGACGGGACGAGTGCTCAGTGGTTGCTTCCAGGCCCTGCAGCACCGTGCGCAAAAAAGAACAGCCAACTCTAATTTTGGCTGTAACGCCAAGGAAAGGAGTGGGACACTGTAAGGAAACAAACACAGCAGCTCATCCAAATGTACACACACACACACACGCCTGTAGCCACTCCACTTACCTAATGACTTGAACACATCAGGTCCGGCGTATTTTCCATCAAAATAGACTGTGTTGTTTTGCGAGTCAAAGGCACGGCACATTCTGACAAACACAACTTCCAGAGAGCCTGCGGAGACAGACGGGAACAGCACGCCAAATGTGAGTTCGTTTTTTTTTCTCTTTCCAACATCAGTCAGGAGTGCAAAACACATGATTATGCTTTGTGCTAATCTTCCACAATGTGAAAAAAAAACAAGCACTTTGAAATAGAGAGGCTTGTTGTCAGATAAAAAAAAAGCCTCGGAAGATGAAAATATCATTGACAGAAAGCTGAGCAAAAATAAGGAGTAACACCACTTATTCATTTTAGCTCGAAATGCATTTTAAAAGATGAAAACGTGTGGAGGGGGATAAGACAAAGAGTAACAGAATCGATTCTCAGGAAGACGCTGTTTCATTATTTATTTTGGTTGTTTAAAAGGATAGTTGGGGTTTTTTCAGCTAGGCTTTTATGGAAAAGTTATGAAAAATTAATATCTTACCTGCTGTAGATAGCTCTTTGAGTGACTTCAGTTTGGAGAAATAAAGTTTAATTTGGACAAGTCCAAGTGGGGCCAAGACCAAAGTGGATAACTTCTATTTAACAAGTTGACTCTTAAAAATATAGTAGTGTTTATTTAGTTTTTATATTTACCCTTTATTTATACAGGTAGTCTCGAGTCACGAGAACTCATTTTCAAGAGAGACCTGTTTTTGGGAGCAGAAAGTGGGGGTTGCTCAGGGCCCCAGAGTGGGGCGAATGAGCGTGGAGGCAGGTGTGGGTGCTTCACCTTTTCCACCCACATTTTTGATGTTGTCAGTCCGGGGAGTTGAACCTGTGACTTTCCAATCACAGGCCCATCTTCTCTAATCTCTGCACCACCACTCCCCATATTAGTGTTTAATATAAACTGAGTTTTATAAAACTTTGCATTGCAGTCTGTTTTGCATCATACTGTAGTGGCAGCAATCCACTTTGAGCTTGGCCTTGATCAGACTAGCCATTAGCTCATCGATCTGATCAACTTACATTCTAATTTCTCCAAAGAAAGGTATTTTTCTAAAATGTATCTACAACAGGTAATATTTTAAGTGTTCAGTACTTTTTTAAGGATGGCTGTGGCTGAGTGGTTAGAGCAGTTGTCCTCAATGCAAGAGTTGGGGGTTTGATTCCACTAGCAGTTCCATGCCGAAGTGTCCCTAGGCAAGTCAATGAACCCCTCATTGCCTCAGATGTGTGTCCCATCATTGTATGAATGTGATAAAGCACTGAATATTCTTTGTATGGGTTAATGAGGGCACAGATTGTGTTGTAAAGCGCTTTGAGTATCTTGATAAGATAGAAAGGTGCTAAAAAAGTACAGTCCATTTACTGTTACTATTGTTTTAATGTAAATAAATGTAAAGGAACGACCCTTAATGTGCGTTTGTTTGCTGCGTGTGGAACAACTACTCGTATTTGCGCATAAATACAACTGACAATGCGCGGAAAGTCACGTAGTGTTCTGTAAATACATGTTCAGGAGAGCAATGTGAGGAGATTTCTGTCTCTGGGAAAACAGAGCGAACAGGCAGCAGGCACATTATCAGAACTCGGGAACACACGACGTATCTAATGCCGTGTCCCTCTCTGCTGTGCATGCATTGAGAGGAGGGGAAAGCAGGGGGAGACAGGCGAGGTGGGGTCTCCTGTCTGTGACGCTGTCTGTGTGTGTGAAGAGGAGAGTTTTGTGCAGTCAGGTCAGCTACAACCCTTGTGACAACGCCAGAGAGGGGCGGTAGTGGTGGAGGGCGAGCTTGACGGCGGCAGGCCATGTTGACAGGCTGTCATACCTGCTTTCAGCAGCACTATCTGATCATTCTGACACAGCTCCATGAAGCCGTCGATGCGCTTGGCAAACTCCACCACATACTGAATGGCCTCTGTTATTTTGATAGCACACAGCTGCCACATGACTTCCCGCGGCTGAGAACAGATAGCACAGACAACGGGTTATCTGCGGCGAAACAAAGGTTTGATAATTGCTGGGGAGGCCCAGGTTGTAATGAATGATTACCTTGCTCTGGTAGCTCTCCACCTCCTCCTGAAGGAAAGCCTGCCACGTCATCTGCTGCAGCTCTTCTCTCAGGTACTGACACGTCTCCATGTGCGACTTCGAGATGTTCTGGGCCAGGTGCTCTGGAACGCAACCGTCATCACAAACCCAAATGATTACATGTGAGATCGGGAAGTTACTCACGGGGCTATGTGAAAGCGAAGACCTCGGTGATGAAATGTGCCACAGGAAAAGAAGATTTATTTACTGAGCTCTCACGAGGGGGAGGGGAGGACAGAGGGGATGGATACGCGTGGGCTCTTTTGGGGAGAAAGCTTGTTGACATTTCCTTATACTGCCTGCAGAAATCTCATAGCTTAAGGTTGAGGCGAAGACAATCTAGTTATGACATAAATGCGTGGAAAATGGGGGAGGGGACGCCACGCTACTAAAACAAAGGTCACTTTTTTTTCTTTGAGAAATACTGAGTGTAAGAATTTAAATGGTTTTGAAAACACATCTGTTAAAGGAGTTCCTACACACAAGGGAGCCTAAAAATGATTTCCCCAGACACCTGCCCTGCTGGATCCTGATTGGCCCTAATTAATGGAAACTAATTACAAAAAAGAGACTCTTTTAATGAGTGTAGGAGATGAGTCTCCAACCTCCTGCTATTTTAAGCAACCTTTGTGTCGTTTGCCCCACGGTTACGTTGTTCTCCCCCTTCCTCTGTTTTACCATCTCTCCTTTAACCTCCCCCTTTCTCTCCTGCTCCTTACCTAGTTCAGCCATAGAAACGGTCGGGGAGATCTCTCCGTTGGTGAACGAGCAGTAGGGGAAGAAGCCGGAGCCGGGGGCGAAGTCGCAGATGGGCTCTGGCTTGATGCCGTTGATGTCCAAGCCGGACTGGTCTGGAGACGGTTGGATGTCCAGATAGAAGCTGCTGACCGCCGAGTCTGGTTTGCTGCCATCCGGAGTGTGACCGTCCATGTAGCCACTGAGGTCATCGTGGAGCTCCGTGAGGCCGTTGGCTGAGAGGTTGTAGCTGGGCGTGAGCGGCTCTGCTTCTCCGGGCTGCTGCTGGTGGTCGCGCTGCTGCTGCTGCAGCCGGTGCTTTTGGACTTCAGCGTACAGGCTGTCCCGCTGCTTCTTTGACATGCGGCCAAACTTCACCGCTGTTACAAGCAAGAGGAAACGAGCGTGAGACATAAGCTGAGCAGTAAAACACCACAAACAAAATTCATTCGGATCGGTTTGTTTTTACATGCATCACTTTTTCATAACAAACTAAGGGGATTTTTTTTTCCCCAGAGTCAAAATAGTTTTAAACACTGGGTTAACTTTCTAAACTGGAATTATTATACTTTAAATGATGGTAAAGTTGGCCTTACTCAGGTTGAAGATGCACTCTAACAAGTGGAATTTATGTTTAACAGGTAACATTATCACGATAAACACAATTATTTATCTTTTTGGGGGTGGGGAAACTGAATATTGATGCAAAAAAAGAAGGCAAAAAAATAAGAACACATAAAACATGTTTTAAAATTTTAAAGTCACTTCTACACAGAATAATCTCAGCTCTTATTTGATAGTCGAGAGCAAACCTATTAATAAAAGTTATACGTTAAAATACATCAAAAAATATATCAGTTATATACAATAAGTTAGCTAATACGCTAACATAAATGCTATATTTGAATTAGAATGAGGATTTGTTGCCAAATAATTGACAAAAGTGAGAAAAAATAGACACTGTAGTTTATAAAGACTACTAACAACAAACCCCAAAACAAGTTTAATTTCCTCATGCTGTATAATGAAGAGAAACAAGATTTATTCCCAAACAGGACAAAAAAAAAATTACCGTAATGCAAGCCCAAAATCACTATTTTCCTTAAACATGTTGAAAAAAAGATGACCATTTTGATGTGCTAAATGCGTATTTTTTATTTACCAGTATGTATAGGAACTAAAAAATGTTGAAACATTTTTTTATAGCAGTTTTTGTGGTTAGTAGAGGCTGAATCGACTAGCCGATTGTAGGACATCTCGAAAGTTTTTAAATTTCACGAGGACTAGTCGCAGTCGGTGATGGTGTCACGTGATCAGCGCCGGCCTCTGGCTACAAAACAGATTCTTCCAAGCAGATGGAAGGAGAGGAGCAGGCCAAGTCTTCACAAACAGGTAGAAATTCATCAACATTGTGGAAGTATTTCACTAAAGATGATGTTGTTTTTAGTTTTATTTTAGTTAATCCGCTAAATAAAAAATAAAAAAACAGGGGTGCGCTCCACCGGAGAATCCACCACCACGGTGGTGGATAGTTTTTATTTTTATTTCATTTAATACACTAAATTAAAAAAATTAAAAAACGGGTGCGCTCCACCGGAGAACCCACCGCGCACCACCACCAGTGGAGATTGAAACGCTGCAGTGGTTTATTTTATTTAGTGGATTAAATAAAATAAAACTAACTTTTAGATAATAATAGTTTTGGTCTTCCTCTTACTTATTTGCAGTATGATAAATGGTAGGAGCATAAATATACGCTCCCGACGTTTTGTTGCTCTTTTTTTAATAAATAATGACCTTTTTTTTTTTAGCGTCTTGTGTTCCCATGACAACATCAACTAGTCAACATCAACTCATCTATTATCATGTTAATATTTTTAAAAACATGTAGTCGTTCAGTCCCTAGCGGTTAGTGTTAATTGCTGAATTCACTGAAAACAAAACTGAGTGCAATCTTCTTTGGTCCTGGTTAGTAGCTAACTAAGCTACTTCATCAGTCTGGTCGGACTCTTATCTTTTTCAAACTAATGAAAAAGTTACCTGCAACAGGTAAGATAATAACTGTTCATAACCTTTCCAGATGACCCCACTTTAAAAGATCTGAACTGTTGCTTTAATGTCCAGGAAAAGACAGCTAAGTGTTTGCTGCATGTGCAGCAACAAATACAAACAGTTCTGTTTTATTCAGACTCACTCTACGCAGGGACTTTGAGTTTCACAACAGCCATTTGTAGATTAGTGCCTGCATTAAGTGACAATCTATGATTTGTATACAGGAACTTTTAGACATAAAGATATCAACAATAAGCTTTATGCACCACCAGACTGATGCACAGGATTGTACCAACAAGGGATATTTTTGTACATAACACAAACAAGTCAAATTTAAGAATGGTTTATGCATAATGTGAACAAAGGCTAAAACAACTAACCAGTCACTCAAATAGAAGACAAGATAAGCTGCTGCCTTCTGTTTTAATGTTTCCAAACTAAACACGGTTGTTGAGAATAAGACTTCTTGGCCTGGCAGTGTGTTTATGTGTGTATGTGTGTGTGTTCCTATGAACAGTACCAAAAAAAAAGTGTGTGGAGCGCACAGAGGAGAGTGCGGGCATTTGGGCTCTGGTGTGTTTGGTGAAGGTAAGAGTCACCTTCATCTATCCTAAATGTGTGTGTGAGACTTTGTGTAATATAAAGACACACACACAGTGGGAGCACACCCAGTATGTGCTTATTCACACTGATGAATATATGTGCACATGAAGGTATGCCAGACTACATAAATATACACATTTTTTTTGGTACTTATATATATATATATATATATATATATATATATATATAT